CAGCAAGAACTAGGAGACGGAAGTGGCGTCTCCCCCCCCCCCCGGGGGGGGGGAAGGGAGACAGGGGAGGGGCAGGCCAGCGTNGGTAGGAGGAAAGGTAAAGAGGGGAGGTTCAGCTCAGAAGTGCCGATGCTTGCGAAGACCGAGGGCTCTGTACGAAGAGTGATAGCTGACTGGCTGATTCTGACTGATTTATGTGGAACTGACTGTGACTGAGTGCGTTTGGATGTGGAGCGCGGTCGCAGGAGTGGAGAGCCGGTAGCTACGCCTGTTGCTCAGTGAGTCGGCCATGACCGTCGGAGAGCTGAGGCAGCCCAGTGAGTCGGGCATGCCGTCGGAGACGAGGCGGCCATTCCTGGCGCAGCACAGAGCCGAAGACTCCGAAGACCGAGCGCTGAGGACGAAGTGTGCTGTTTGTAGACTGCTGCTGACTGAATGCGTCTCAGTGCTGCTGGGTTGGAGCTGCGCCTTTTTATTCAAAGCGCGATGGAGGAGCGAAAATTTGCTGAGCGCTGATTGGCTAGCGAAAATGAGGAGCGGAAATTTGCAGTGCGTGCTTATATAAATATGCTATGTGGGATGTTCTCACAAGTCCGCGGTACCCATTGTATAGGAGATCGGGTGAACCCCAAAGCCGGTCTGGACGATTGTACAAGAGAAAATTTTTGACCGTACCGGGACTCTAACTCCGACCGCTCTGTCGTCCAGCCCGTAGTCAGTCGCTATACCGACTGAGATATCCCGGCTCATTTGTAACTGGGGGGAGGTAAATTTCCCAACGAGCGAAAAGTCACCAAATAAATTCCAGTGATAAATTCCACTGCCTGAAACAAAATGCGTAAGAGTCGGGAACCATGTACCACTGGGGGACACATTATATGACAAAGATAATGTCACGTGTTTATGGCTCCGTGACTAATAATAACGGGTTCTGGATTGGAACACCTTCGTCTGGCCCCGCCATAGCTCAAGCGGTTAGTCGTTTGCTTCCCACCGCGACGACCCGGGTTCGATCCCGGGTCTGGTGAAGTGGGAATTGTGGTGGACAAATTGGCGCTGGGGCAGGTTTTCTCCCAGTACTGAAGCAACTCTGCTAGGCGAGTTATGACATTCTTACAGCTACATTTTTAATGACACGTGCTGCATTAGTTCCATATAATCTGTGGGAAATTCCGTCACCGTGATATTGTGACCCAGCAGGCGACGTAAGGTGACTGCATTACCAGAGTCCATGACCCAATTAACCTCTGCCTGGAAAACTCATCACCATAACCAGTGGGTCTCTCTGGTTTGCTTTTAAAATCTCTCTTAATTACTCGTTTCAGTACTACGATCCAGATGTCCCCTCTTCGAAGCGAGTATCTGTGGCCCAACTAGCTTTCTTCCGTCATAATATAAGTGGACAAACAGTTCAGTGTGATTCAATCAAACACAAATAATTAAGGATACCATTCTGGGGGGATGTGATCCTGTGTATTACTGCAGAAATTTACCAACGTTTCGCAGATATATATATTGCCTCATATTCATATGGAAAAATGAGCAAGCAACCAGGAAGATACAGGTAGCAAGAAATGCTCCTCTGAAACTGCTTTGAACATAAACCGGAATACAATGCTTCACATAGGATGAAGTTACTGTCAGTGTCTGACAGATGGCATTAATCATCTTCGAGGGCTTCGACGCATCATTTGATAATACAACTGCATACTTTTACAACTTCCATAATTATAAAAGCCTTTGAGCGAGGAAATAAAAGAGTAGTGACAAATAAAATGACTGGAGAAGAAATAGTACACAAGGAGGGAAAGAGATAAAAATGCTAAAGGAGAGGAAGAGAGATGAAAACACGATAAAAGTGACTCGACCTATGTATGACTCAAACATTCGTGACCAGAAGACGGGATGCATTTTACCGACTTTCCGTTGAATTTTCAACGGCCATTATACTAGTGTATAATCACAGATCTCATGAATTCACTTTGTGTCACGTATCCGATTATCTGACTGTTAGGCCAGATGATGCGACTCGTTTGTAAGAAGTTAACCAAGGCACAGGTATCCGTGTGATGCATACCAGGCGCAGGCGCAGGCGCAGACACCGTTCCAGTATACAAACCTCCCATCATGCCTGGCATGCCGCCGTACATATATGGGAACAACCTTCTGGCTCTCTCGTGCTGCCTGGAAGAGTTAGCCTGTTGCCCAATGTCTCCTGGTTCTTATCAGGGCCCCAGAAGGGCACGTCCCACGGTTTCGTCCATTGGCACATAACGTACAGGAGACTTACGTATTTCGCAATCAGGTTTTGTGTTTGATGCAATGTATTTCTTTTTTACTTAATAGCGTACTTACAGTCTACTCTCGGTAATATGGAGTCCTGAGTTTCTGACGTCAGGGTGTTGCGGATCAATTTTGAGATTGGAAATTTAAGACATTACCTAAATGTTCGAGACTTGCGAAAAGTGTTTTACAGCTATTACATTAATATGTCAACACCTGGGCAGGCAACTAGGTTAAGAATGTTGATGATCAGCATTTATGCGTAATCACATACGTAAGAAGCTCTGTTAACGGGGCCACTGGAGATGGTATATTATTATATACGCAGCGATGAGACACCACGGCCCACCCACAACCACACGGAATAGACAATTAGAAGATAACTTTGGAAATTGAGGACAACAAGGGGAGTTAACTTCCCTCTTTCGTCCACAGCCAATTCAGCAAGTTAAAAGATATAAATTACTGAATTTAGGAGACATAGGGAACTGATTTCAAACATAATATTCAGTTGTCAGCCGGAGGCTCTAGTCAATATGGGCCTTACAAGTGGAGGAAGTGGGCCTACGTCTTTTACTTCAAGTAAGACACGTTTACTCATATAAGCCATGTTGTTCAATATTATTGTCGATAACAGTGTGTGGAAAATATTGAAAGCAAACTCCAGTGTGCTCGGCCAGCCCTTAGGGGAGAGCAATAATTATGTAACAAGTAATTGCCTATGAAGATAGTCCGGCAATATGGCTGTGTTATAGTGTATGTGTCAAGATTACTGGTAGTGTGTAGTGATAAATATAGTATGTGGGCTTTTTATGTATAACTTTACGGGCAGATTATTTTAGGGGATAACATGAGGAAGAATACGTGTAGTAAAGACACTATGTAGACCCGACTGTAGGTCGGTCTTGTTAATATTGTAAATAATGTAAATAAGAGTGTAAATAGACAGGGTAGTTAGAGTAGGATGTACCGGGATTGTGATTCACCCTCCATAATCACCTTTTCACGACCGATCCCGAGGATCCTACCAAAACGAAAGGCAGCAGCAGCCGAAAGCTTAAGGGGAGGTACTAGGAATGGACAGGGATAGGCACCTGCCACGCAGGCAGCGTTTAGTGGCCTTGGTATCAACGCCCCTTAAGAATCATAATAATGTAATACGTTGCTACCTGTAGACTATATGAAGGGTTGTCAAGAGGGAGCTATGACAATATGTCAGGGGGTAGTTCCCACCATAGAGATGACAGACGATAGGTAGAGGCGGGTCAGACCTGACACGCCCGCTCTACGCCAATAATAAGAGGTGACAGTGACGAAAGGGCTAGCCAACAGAGGACTCTCGACTACCGCGCTACCGGCCCTTAGTACTTTCATCACCTCTCTTAGTATTTTCAACAACCTTCGTACGATATAATAGATAGTGGCAGCTTTAAGTAAGGAAGGAAGCCCCGAAATAGGAGAATCCTAGCTGAGGGTAAGCTAGGATTACTGATGAACGGCGAACTGTAAAGTGTTTTGAAGGCAGTGGCCGTGGCTTATTTGAGGTTTCGCTTAGGAGGACTAAGAAAAGTTTATAGACGTAATGTAATCAGCCTCGGAACCGAGATTTGAACCAAGGATCACCCTAAAACTAAGAGAACTAAGAGCGAACATCTACCTACTCGACCATGTCTTCGTTTACATACCGAAATTTCCTGAGGATGTAAGAGTTGGAAGTCAAGGAGGATGAGGTGGGCAGGGCATGTAGCACGAATGAGGGAGAAAAGGACTGCATATAGAATATTGATGGGAAAGCCATAAGGAAAGAGACCACTAGGGAGACGAATACGAAGGTGGGTGGATAGAGAGATAGGCTGGGATGGTATGGATTGGATTAAGCTGGCTCAGAATAGGGACCAGTGGAGGGCTGTTGTGAACACGGTAATGAACCTTCGGTTTCCATAAAATGCTGGGGAATTCTTGAGTAGCTGCAGAATTGGAGGGTCCTCATGAAGAGCTCAGCTCCATGAGTAAGTATTTTTTATTGCTAGTGGGGTGGGACTAAGTCCTAAGTCCTTCTGGCCTATTGTACCAGCCCCAGATGATAGGTGAAGGTGATTGTGGAGCAATCGGTGGAAAGAAGATTCGCAGGGGAAACCGAAGTACTCGGAGAGAACCTGCCCCAGCGCCACTTTGTCCACCACAAATCCCACTTGACCAGACCCGAGATCGACCCCGGGCCGCCGCGGTGGGAAGCCAGCGACTAACCGTTTGAGCTATGGCGCGGCCGAGTAAGTAACGGTTGGAAGGTACAGTCTGCAGTCTGCCTGACCACTGTCAACAGGATGCGCAGTGCATTTGGTCGAGTCCACTATCTGATGTAAGGATTGCAAGGGGTGTACGGGTTGTAACAGGCCTTAGTCGTAGTGCGTCATCCTTCCCACAATTCAGCTGCGACCACTGCCCTGTCAGTTGTTGCCATAGTTCCTCGCGCGCTCTCCAGCAGTCGCGGCTAATAACTTGGCCTACAGATGGATACACTCCGTGTTTTTAGATCTGGCCGCTCTGAACAGAAAGGATTTGATCGAGATAAGGATTATATGGTGTGTGTGGGTTATAATGTATCACCCATCTCTGGCCCCACGGTGCAGGTGTAACCACTGCCCCGCTACTTTTCGTGCTCTACCCAGAGAGACCAACTCTAAAAACACGGCGCGTGAAGGGATTAAATTAGCAACAACCTGTAACAATCTCATATATTCAGTTAGTGTACAAAGCGGGGGTAGGAACAAATTGTTTTCATATACAGTGTGGTGTCATTTTCTAGAAACGACATTCGTTTTAATATGTTGCCTTTGCTGTCCGCTATAATGCAATGGCACTCACAGGATGTCCAAAGAACCCTCTACAGTTGATACGTTATGTATAAACAGCCTTCAGCAAACTTCGATGTTCTCGAATTACAAACAAATAAGGGATTTTATACTTGGCCTGTTTACATCTACAATTATTCCGGGACAGTAATTTGTTTAGGTATCCCTGTTCGGATGATCAGTTCGTTGCAACTTTTATTCCATCGCGCATCACTGAAACCCCCAAAATCGAGGTCAAACATATATGTTCCGAGGGGGAATTCAAAACCATGGCCCAGCGCCCGGTACCATCAAACCTATGCGGTCCGGGCTTTGAACCTCGACCCGGTAACGAGCATTTCGTAGTGTGTTTCCGTTGCTTCTCTAAGTATTTCCGGGCATAATAATTCCCCCAAACTTCCACGGACTTGTTTTAATATTATGTAGAGTCTAGCTGAATGACTGAAGCGTAAGGGCGGCCGCACATCAACTGCGTCAAGACAAGAGACAAAAGGCGCAGTATTGCTTCATTCGTGATTCTTCAGTATCATGACTGAGACCGCTGTGCTGTGGTTTTTATAATCTCATTCATTTCAACTGTGCTCCTTTCTTTGCGTCATGTCGCAGACATCGTGTCTTGACTGTTATATGTCTTGACGCATGCCGATGTGCGGCCTACCTATGGGTAGAATCAATTGAATTTTCTGTGGCGTCTGTTTCGCCATGCCTTGTGACATCTTTTGTTGTCTATACGCTGATAATGTGAAAATAACTTCCCGATAACTTATTGATGATTAATATGATAATACCCTTGAATTGATTTTAAAGCCGCCATCAGTTTAGAAGACTAAGGAAAAACCCGACAATTTTAAGCACGTAGCCTTTTTCTGAGCCAAGATTGGGACCCATGATCCCCCAAATAAGTATCAGGGGGTTCAGACGACTGCAACTCGACTTTCTGTTTGTACCTGAGGAAGACGATCTGGCACTCCTGACATAGGCTGTGCTGAGAGTTAGTTCAAAGCTGTACATATCTACATGTGAGCTACTGAAGCATCACGCTGAAGTTTCTAACTGTTTGCTCCCCACATTTGTCTGAACGGGGTGAAATGAGCTGCTGAAGGCGCTGAATGGCTTTGGGGAGATCATTCTCAGCGTCTGTTGAACCGGCGGCGTGACGTCGCCCTCGTCCTCTTCGGCACCCGTTCGAGAGGCTGATGCCTCGAGGAGGTCACTAAGAGCCGCCTCTAGCTCGCTGAGGGATGGTGTCATCGAGGAACGCCGACTACTGCCCCGGCTGGTCGACTCTCTCAAGGTGGGTGGCACACCCAAACCATTCAGAACTGGCTTAACTCCTATTTCCTCCACCTTACCATCCGCGGTCTCATAATCCTTCAGCAGCCGGAGAAGGGACGAGTGAGTCACTTCGTCATCTTGATGAAACAGCCTCTCTTGCAATTTGGATTTTGAATTCTCTGGGGTGGGCGGTGGAGTCTTCAGTCCTGTCGGAGTGCCTGTGCCACTGAAGCCGTTCGCAAGCCTCGAGTCTACCGTCGAGTTCTTCTGATTTACGGAATCACACACCAGGAATGTTGTGCCGTCGATTTCAGAAGCTGGCCGAGCTGGATGATTTAACGCTTCAAATTCTTGCGGTTTTGGACTTCCTGCTTGACCCACTTTGCATCCAGATGAACTCCTCGTCATTTCCGCATGTGAAGCATCAGACAATAAAGTTTCTTCCGGAGAATCCATTCCTCTGTCCGGTGGGCTCACCGTTTGATTTTCTGGAATTACAGCCAATGAAATTTCTTCTGGAAGACCAATCCGTCCATCTATTATGCTTGCTGTTTCTTTGTGTGAAGTGGTGGACGTCGAAATTTTGTCTGGTTGATCCATCCCTTGATCTACTAAGTTCGTCGTTTCATTTCCTCGGTCTGGTGACGTCGAAATTTCTTCCCTGTGGTCTTCTTTGCCGTCAGTTGAACTCTTCCTGCTTCCCCTTTGTGTGGGCAACATGGTGTGCGGTGGGCTGTCCTCGTGCGCGTCACAGTGTTCTATGACGCGCAGGTCCCAGTCATCCAGTCCGTCAAACGAGTCGTCGCTCTCAGAGGAATACCTGGGTGCACTCTTCAGCTTCAGTTGTTCTGGCTTGAAGGCCCCGAAGCTTTTGCATCTTCTGACGCAGTTTTCGATCTTTTCCACGGTCAACGAGCTAAGTCCCGAGCTCTTCGCCGAGAGGGGCACACATGTCTCGGATCTTGGAGGCGACTTGTGGCCAGAGGAGGGATTCTCACTGCAAGCAGACAGTGACAGCTCGGCGTAGTTCGGCAGCGAAGCAGTGGATAGGGCCTTCTGTCGTCGCTTCTTCTTAGCGACTTCAGGTGGCTGTGGTGGTGGAGGCCGAGGGATGGACTTCCACCCCTCCTGCTGCAGACGTTGCTGCTTCTTCTTCCTGGGTGGAGGGATTGGTGTTCTGCTCTCATCACGCGTTTCGGGAACGCTCAGTGTTGCATCTTCCCATTTCGAACAGGCGTTCAGCGCATGCGTCTGGCTGATGGGCCGGTGTGTGGTATGAATTGGCACTGGCTGACTTACTAGAGGTCTGCTCTTGATCCTGCAACACCAAAGTTCAGTTTAATATTATGTCTCCAACATATTATTCCAGTGTAATATTGTGTCTCCAACATGAAATTGCAGTGTAATATTGAGTCTCCGACACGAAATTCCAATGTAATATTGTGTCTCCGACATGAAATTCCAGTGTAATATTGTCTCTGACATGAAATTCCAGTGTAACATCGTCTCCAACATGAAATTGCAGTGTAATATTGTGTCTCCGACATGAAATTCCAGTGTAATATTGTCTCTGACATGAAATTCCAGTGTAACATCGTCTCCAACATGAAATTGCAGTGTAATATTGTGTCTCTGATATGAAATTCCAGTGTAACATTGCCTCCAACATGAAATTGCAGTGTAATATTGTGTCTCTGATATGAAATTCCAGTGTAACGTTGTCTCCAACATGAAATTGCAGTGTAATATTGTGTCTCCGACATGAAATTCCAGAGTAATATTGTGTCTCAAAACGAAAAATATTATTTCACATCTGCACTGTGAAATTTCATTAAAATCCATCTGCGTAAGGACAGTATGTCGCCATATAAAGGTACATCACGCCTAGATGTTGCAAGTTCTCAGCAAGGGCCCCCTTCCGTTTTCTGTGTATAACCAATAGGGACAACGATAGACTGTGCTGCCGCTCTCAACGTAATGTGCAGTGGAGCTGGTCCAATCCACTGACTTGAGATGAGGGTTGTACATGTGTATGGGTTATAACTGAGCTTATTTACAGTACGTCACCCCTCCTCCTACAATACAGCTGCAACCACTTTCTCGACACTTGCTGTGTTTCTCCTCACTCCCAACCCAGAAGCCAGGACTAAAAAATGCAGCCTGTACTAGCTTGAAAACTCCCGATAATAATAATAATAATAATAATAATAATAATAATAATAATATGGCTTATAGACCCTTTGCTATGCGGTGACTCTGTAAACAACGGCCGTTGCTAGGTAACGCCCGCAACATACACGCACGCAACAGTAGAAGTACGGTTTTTCTGTGGTCCTAGCCACAGCCGTTTCTCGACAACGACTCGGTAAACACGTTCCAGCGGCAACAGCCTCGAACGGAACTGCAGGTGTTCTCCATATGGTCCGTGTCGAGTTGTTATAAGCAAACGATAAAGTTAGTTAATAGTTCACTTCTGTACGGAAGGCTGTGAAGAAAAAGGTTAGTTGAAAGAGTGCGGAATTCAGTGAGAATGTCATAGTTCCTGTGTTAGAACCAATTGTCAGGAAACGGCTAGTGGAAACTGTAGTAGACTGAGGACAGTGATCTGTAAAGTGCAATCACGAGTCGTGAGTGTATAGGCGGCCAATAAATCGAGTCAGCAATCCGAACCCCGTCAATAGTCACACATACTACGTGATGATGTTGATGATGATAATAATAATAATAATAATAATAATAATAAGAGGAAGAAGTGTGTCTCACCTGTCGAGTTCATTTTTGTTACTGTTGAACTCGGAAGCTCTTGGTCGCTGCTCGGCACGCCCAGTTGGGCAGATCTGAAAATCATATATAACCACTATTAAGTTGAATTAAGGCAACTTCTGTAATTTCGATCGAATGCCGAGGTTGAGCGGTTGGCACCCCCTGCTTCATATTAGGGAGGTGCTGTACTCATACCTGGACTTTTTGAACGGCCGTCTTGACAGATGGTTTCGCGATCTTCCTCAGTCCCTTCAGGTAAATGCCAGGATAGTACCTCTAATTAGGTCGTGACCGCTTCCTTACATATCCCTTCCTATTCATTATTCACTTATCACCTTACCATTGGATGCTGTGTACTATCGAGGTACAGCGTCATTAAACAAACGCATACATGAAGATACGTACGTGAACGAATGGATATGACTGTTGCAAAAAAGTGGATAAACAGAAGCAGGGGAAAATCATGTTTCAGAATGCTGACATGAGAAGTCTTTTGCGTGAGCAGACACGACGTCCTTTGCTTTTTAATCGCAAATATGTCTCCCGACTTGAGACACGAACATGTCCTTTGCTCGTAAATGGTAAAAATGTCCCCTGACTGCAGACACAAACAACTCCTTTGCTCTTAAATTGTAAAAATGTCCCCTCACACCGACACGAACAAGCCCTTTGCTCGTAAATGGTAAAAATATCCCAACACAAAACACGAACAAGTCATTTGGGTTTTAATGGTAAAAATGTCCATTCGCTCCTGACACGAAAAAGTCCTTCGATTTTTAATGGTAAATTTATCCCCTGATAGCAGACATGGACATGTCCTTTGCTTTTTAAAGGTAAAAATGTCTTCCCATAGCAGACACGAACAAGTCCTTTGCTTGTAGATGATAAAGATACACCCGGACTGCAGACGTGGCCAAGCCCTTTGCTTCTAAGTGGTAAGCGTATCGCCTTACTGCAAACACGAAAAATGTCCTTTCATTTACATGGTAAAGGTGTCCATTGACTGGAGACAGGAACAAATATCCTTCATTTAAATGGTAAAACTGTCCGCTGATGGCATAACTGACCAATCAGACGTAAGGGACTGCCTCCATGGTGCAGACACACTCTGTGAAGTCAGCAAATCAGTAAATTCGTGCAGTGTCTCTGTGAAGCCAGAAACATTCACTTTCTGCTGTCACGGAGGCGATCCGGCGGCTGCAAATGTAACAAGCTCCTTCACCTGTTTCTCAACAGCGAGCAGAGGTTGCAGGAAGAAATGAAACGCAATATCTGACGCATGCGCAAGTGATTTCGTAACAGCCGACCTCCAGCAAGGACAGAAGGACTTGAAGAAGAGTTCTCTGTGTTCCAGTGTCGAGTCAGAATTTTCGAACTCCTACAATTTGGTTAGAATTCCCGGCGAGGGAGGGGGTGAACTACCTGATTTAGTTTTTATTTCTTTATCACATAATCTACATACATATCATTTTTAATTATTTCTTATTTCACCTTAATATTCGCCCAACATACTTTCGGTATTAATGCGCTAATGGAAAATTCAGACGAACTTTCACAGGACTTTTCTTCCGCAAATTTACCTGCACGGGCTGCGGCGCAATCACGTTTCCAGAGGAGATGGACCTTATTAGTTAGCGAACCGAGAACCATATGAGTTGGTTCCTGGAAACGCCACTAGATGGCAGAGTTGTTCACATATTGTCTCACCTGATGGAATGCCGAGCAAGGCCACAGAAAGACTGGAGGCGTGGAAAGGGATTTGTTATTACCGCAAAGGACGCCTACATCGTGTCAGGGCTGTCCAAGTGGCACTTCGGGTTAGTACAATCTCCGCAATTCTGAGGTTCTCACAGCGGTTACTAAAATAATTATTTTATAGTATGGATGTAACGCTGTGCCGACGTTTCGGAGGACTAAATCGCCGACACTGAAGATGACAATATTCCTCTGAAACGTTCATGGACTTCTATCGAAATGCACGGCGTTTCCAGAGGCCCGTGCCTCAGCCGGGGTTCGATTCTCGACAGGAGCAAAATTTTCTCTTTTCCATAGCGTCCAGACATGCTCTGTGGTCCACCCAGCCCCATATCCAATTTGTAGCGGGGACTGTTCCCCAGCGGTGAAGAGGCCCGGGCGTGAAGGTAACCACTCCCATTATTTAGTGCCGAGGCCGAGAATGGTGGAGATGTATCTCCACTCCCCATATATCTTATTGGCGTATCGTGAATTACGGATACTTTACCTTTTTAGCTTACCCCCACCCCTACAACCTCGTGGAGCCTGCCAGCCCGTCTAGTTATGTCGCCTGTTTAAAGAGAGGGTTTCAAAGGGACATTTATATTCCAGTTGGCGTAACCTTCACAAGAAAGTATTTTTAGTGTCACATGGCTATACCTGAACTAATTACCACATGAATAACTGTGTCAACACTGCAGTACCTTTATCTCTATTGTTTAGTAGCCGTGACGTCACCATGACAACCGGAGTAAACACGCACCAGTTTTCAATGTTGCCGGCTGTACAAGTATTCGCCTGGAAACTACGCAACTTCCGTGTGCTTCTTGAAAGCAGCTATATCGAAACTCACCTGTCAGAGCCGTCATCCGTATACCGGTTGTCCGGAAACGACTGATACATTTTCGTGGATGAAATACGAGAAAACTGCAGAGCATACCCAAATATAACCGGTATCAGCAGAAAGTCAAATTCTCAGAGATGTCAAAATTGGTGGTATATCTCCGTAGTACCTATCTTTACCGCCAGGCTCCGCAATTTTCTGAAATGGCGTCTCCCACAGAGAGGAGCTTTTTCGTGATTGTGTACGCGGAAAGAAATTCATGCATCAGTGTTCGGCGGGCCTTCAGAAAACGGTTTCGTAAGGGCCCACCTCCTGGCAATTTTGAAAACCAGAACACAAGCAGTGGTCGTCCTCGTGTGAGTGATGAGGCTGTGCGGCAGGTGGAGGCCACTTTCCAAGGAAATCTGCAGACGGGAAGCCGTGAGTTACAGATGTCGAAAACGACTCTGCGGCAAGTCCTGCGCAGACGGGTGCGCATGAAGCCTTACAGTGCCACGCTACCAAACCGTTGGAATGGGAAAACTAGACCTGCAGATGAAGTGGCCTCCTCGGTCTCCCGATTTCACTCCATGGGACTTATTTCTGCGTGGTTATTAAAGGAACAAGCGCTTGTGCAACCTCTACCAATGATTACTGATGAAATGAAGTTGAGAATTACTGCAGCTGTGGAGGCAGTGGACAGGAACATGTTAGAAAGAGCATGGCATGAGCTGGATTACAGACTGGGTCACGAATGGAGCTCACACTGACCATCTTTAGGTTACGTAAAGCTTTCAGAGTTTGTCATTAAAATGGAAAGAGTTACAACTGTATAGTGTACCAATCATTTATGGACATTCTGTATACGTACTTCCGTCCGTCCGCTAAACGGTACGCAAAGCTGCAGAATTTGTGGTGGTAATAAATATAAAACGGTGCCCGTCTGTTTAATTAAGTGCCACGTCATGCAGACGGATGTGGTGGTGGAGGTATAGCTCCGTATATTCTTAACCTATGGATCTGAGATTTGGTGGTCCCTACAGCTAGTCTGGAGGCTGTGAAGAGAAAAAAGTAATATCTTGCAGCAGCCGGCGATTGAACCAGCTCGTAGCTTGTTCACTATATCGACTGAGCTATCTGTGGTCCTCTTAGTATAATGAAGCTACTTGTAGAATTTTTTTTCCCCCGAACGACTTAGTTTTGGGTTTATAATTGTAAGATGTGAACGGTAACTTATTTTTCTGATGCTATAGCAGTAAAAAAAAAGCTATCCCTTGACAAGTCGTGGAGGCCTAGAGGATTGGGAGACGTCGAGGCCCCCACATTTTCTAGACAGTCGGCATATAGATGGCAGTGAGGTTGTCAGCCGGCCGCTCTTTACCCCTCCCCCAGGAAGATTCGTGTTACTCATTTTTGTTAGAGGGTGAGTCGACCCCAGGGCCATAGTGCGGCTGGAAGGATTAGGTCAACTGAGAAATCCAATGAACTCGTCGGGAATCGAACCTGATACCTTCCGGCTTGTAGCATAATGCGTCAATCAACTACGCTCTAAATATTATCAAGTTCTGGTAGTAGTAAAATAAATGAGAGTAAATCAAAATTCAAGTCTATTCATCCCAGACTTTGTTTGCAACCCTGAAGGATGAACTCAGGTTAAGAACGCGCTGAGAAACATGTCTGCACCTGTCACGAGGGAATAACAGTATGGCGAAGACAATTCTGTTCGTATAATGATAAATTTAATAATTACATAGCCCCCTAGTTATAACTGAGTAGTGATGTTCGCTATAACCGAGTGAAGGTGTATTCACGGAAGTACACCATAGGATACATAGTCAATACACGCAATAATCACAGAAAAATACAATGTGATTACATAAAGGTTTTTATATTGGCGCTATTTTTTTTATTTTAAACGGTTTCCTAACTAAAAAAACCTTCTTAGTGCCTCGACATCTAGAAAGCACAACCGGTTAATGCTGTTTGGGGAAACCGTCGCTGTTTATTGTGAGAACCATACGGAACACACAAGTACACTATGTGGGCAGAATGCAGAGACTTTATATATAAGAATTCAGTTCGCACCTCACAGGAAACATTATGTCTCCGCTACAGAGACCAACCGGTTAATGCTGTTTGGGGAAACAGTCGCTGTTTATTGTGAGAACCATACGGAACACACAAATACACTGTGTGGGCAGAATGCAGAGACTTTATATATAAGAATTCAGTTCGCACCTCACAGGAAACATTATGTCTCCGCTACAGAGACCAACCGGTTAATGCTGTTTGGGGAAACAGTCGCTGTTTATTGTGAGAACCATACGGAACACACAAGTACACTGTGTGGGCAGAATGCAGAGACTTTATATATAAGAATTCAGTTCGCACCTCACAGGAAACACATTAAGTCTCCGCTACAGAGACCAACCGGTTAATGCTGTTTGGGGAAACAGTCGCTGTTTATTGTGAGAACCATACAGAACACACAAATACATTTCGTGGTCAGAATACAGA